GGTCACAACATGAGGAACTGTATTTAAAGGGCCAGAAGATTGAGAACCACTGATCTAGGGGGAGGCCATAAGGTCAAGCTTAATTATGCTAAGAGGGCTCTGCCCTCTAAGCTGGGACTTGTTTGTGGCTCTCCACAGGTCAATTTGAGGCTTAACTCTAGAGCAGTGGTTCTCAACCTTGGCTGCACATTCGAATCACCTGGGAATCTTTTTAAAATCCTGATTTCGGGGCCTCATCCTCCGGAAATTGTTTCTTTGTTATGGGGTGGGGCCCTAAGTAATACTAATCTGCTTTCTGTCTTTATGGATTTGCCCATTCTGGACATTTCATATAAATAGAATCATACAATATGTGACCCTTTGTGTCTGGCTTCTTTCACTTAGCATAACGTTTTCTAGGTTCATCTGTGTATTAGCCTGTATCAGTTCTTCATTCCTTTTAATTGTTAAATAATATTCCATAGTATGGCTATTCCATGTTTTTGTTCATCCCTCCATCAGTTTTTGAACATTGGAGTTGTCCCATTCTGGGCTGCTGTGAACATTTGTGTTCAAGGTTCTGTGTGGACATATGTTTTCATTTCTCTTGGGCATAGACCTAGGAGTAGGAGGCCACCTATTATTGGGGAACACATGGAAACAGTGACCTCTGCTTCATGGTTCCCGATTTATGATAAAGTTAAGTGTTCACCAGTGGTGTGTTGTTCAGATAACTTGGTTCAAATATGGGTACTGTGTGGTCATACTCCTCACACAAATGCTCATACCATACATATATTTAGTTCATATTTATTTAGGTGGTTAAATCAGAGCATCATTCCTGATCCCCTCTCCTCACTAGAGGGTCTGCATCCTTTTTACAACGATGCAAAAATATTAATTTCACTTCTTTCACCAGAAATGGCCTTGAATCAGCTCACTGTGGAAAATGACCCGTCCCAAAGGCCAGCCTACGTCCAGCCAGGCCCTGTCTAGAGAATGAGGGGTCCATAATATGCCTTGACAAGTGGCCAATTCCCTCCTATCATAAGTGAGAGGGTTGGGCCTCTTGTTCTCACAAAGGATCCACAGAGATTAGACTCACTGAGAGCTTCCCTCAAGTTGCCTTAGCAGAAGGCCTGGCCCACTTCAGTCCTGCCCAGCAGAGCTCCGGGGGAGGGGCCCGAAGGATCTGTATTTTTAACCTGTTGCTGACCCAGCATCCCATTTGGGAAATGCAGGTCTACAACTCCCTGCTCAGTCGGCTTTCCTGGACTTGGGGGAAAGCCAGGTGAAGTGATATGGTCCCCACCCCAACCTCAGTTAATCTAACCTATCAGCTGGGCTTGCTTACTCAGGATTTCAAGTGTCCTCCTTTGAAAAGATATTCAGCCGTTCACAGGCCTCAGTTGGTCTCTAGCCTTGCCCATTGCCTCTCCGTGCCCCTCCAGGATCTCTTACAGGGCCTGTGGTCACCCCAAAGCCTCGCTGAGAGCTCCTCGTTAAGCCCCTCCTCCCCCTAATCACCCTCCTTTCTTCCTCCCCCTTTTCCAAGCCCCTTACAAGGCCTTTATGGCCTCAGGAGGCCTCTCCCACAGAGGTGAAGGGAGCTTGTTAGGCCAGACCAGCTGTTTTCAAAGAGTGGTCCCCACCTGAGGGTCCCCAAGGTCAAAACTAATTTCATGATAATAATACCTTTTCTTTTTGTATGTGTGGCTTTTTAGATGCTCATTATCTCAGGAGTTTTCTAGTGGAATGGGTTAGTCTCTGTTCTTGTTTTACAATTTTTCTCAGTTTTAATTACTAATAATAAATATCCACACAGACACAAAGCTCTTTGGGGTCCTCAAGTTTTAAGAATATAGAGGGATTATAAGACCAAAAACTTTGAGAAACCTGACCCAGATGGTTTTCTAATTGGTGATAATTACTAATTTGATAGATGAATGAGGCTGCTTATGGAGGGGAGGAAATTGGGGGAGGAGACAGAAGAAAAAGGAAAGGAGTGGTTTCGGGAAAGGAAGGAAGGGGGTGGAAAGGGAAGAGAGAGAGGAAGAAAAGGAGGAGCAAGAAAGGAGACAAGGAGAGACGTGGGATAGGAAGAGAGAGGAGGGAGGAGGTGGGAGAAGGGAGAGAGAGAAGGGAGAGGAAGGTAACAGGAAAGGGAGAAGGGGAAGGGAGGATGGGTGGACAGACAGAACTCAGAAGCAGGGAATTGACCCTATTGAAGATGTGCCAAGGCTGAGCTAGGTATATGCTTTATGTATTTCAGTGCTGCCCCATTTCATAGATGAGGACACTGAGGCTGGGAGAAACTTGGATGACACCCTATATCCTGTAAAAGGGGTGGAGCTGGGTCTGAACCTACGGTCACATCCTTTGTCACCATGCTGTCCCCCTCTAGCTTACAGATGAGTCCTAATTGTCAGTGTGCCACCTTCTAGCCAGCTGGCCAACTACGAAAGCCCAGAATGCAAAGGCCTTTACAACCTGTGCTGCCATTAAGCTACATATAGTCCAGGGAAGGGAGTGGAGGAGGCCAAGGGGCGGGAAGGGGAGAAGGGATGTGGAGTGGCTGCCGCTGGGTCTTTCCGGAGCAGCTGCCTGGTTTCACAGGCCTTTCCCATCAACCCCCATCACTGCCCACCTCCTGAGGTGACTCCCTTCCTGCCTCCCCCTTCTCTTCTCTGGCTGGGGAGGGGGGTCCGAGGCTATGCACACAGGGGCACATTCATTGGGTCCCTTCACCACAATCAGTTTGCTGGGTTTGCCCCCAAGTCCTCTAAAAAAGGACAAACTGGTTGAAAAACTCCACTTGGCATTATTTTCAATATGCAAAATACAATTTATTACTTGGAGTTTACCCTCGAGTGTCCATATAGTGTAGTACATTCCCAACCAAGTATTTCATCAATAAATACTAAACAGCACACACTGTGAGATGAAGTACTTATAGGGGAGGTGGCTTACTGCCCACGGGGTGAGTATTCTACAAAATATTCCCATAGGGCCCTTAAAGTTGTTTTTTAATTGGAAAGTTATGGACTATTATGCGCTGAAGATGTGCTCTGCCTTTCCAAACATAAAGCCTGACTTTCCTGTGCAGAGGCAGGAAAGGGTCTGTGGGAGAGAGGTAGGGGATGCCGTAACTAGGAGACGAGGAGCAGTCTGGAATGTTCTAGGAGTGCAGCTCAGGGGTCCCATGGACACACTGCGGGACCTGCCCCCTCAGCAGCTGGGTGGACCTTGCGCCCATTTCCCAGAGCCCCTGCCCAGGCGGTCCCCTGCGGGGGAGAGGAGAAGGTGGCTGAAAAATGGTCCCCGGGGACCATGTCCTCTTCTTCCCTCTGGGCTCTTCTGAGGCAAGCGGGAGCCTTTTATATTGCTCTCTCACTAGGGCTGTTGCATAGTAAAACCCTCACAAATGACTGAATATAACCATTCTGTTTATTTTTTTAAAACGGATGGGAAAGATGGCCTGACTGGTCCATTATGACACCTGACCAAGCAGATCTGAGGGTGGTCCTGCACCCCCGAGGTTACAGGTGCCAGAGCCAGGCTTACCCGATGGCTGTGCCCACTCTGGAAGGGCCTCTCTGAGCAGCAGGGCCTGGGGCTGGGCCTGCAGAGCCCGAACTAGCCCTGGGAGAAGGGCCGGGCGGGAACAGGGCTGAGAGGAGACTGGAGATCCAGGGGATGCAGCAGACACCCCTTGGGCACCCCAGGAGCCACCGGCAAGCCTCACCCAGGAGTGATTTTTGGAATTTGAGGCGACTTTTTACTTCCCTAATGCATGCCATCTGGATGAATAAGGGATTTTCTAAAACAGAGAATAAGCCTCTCTATACCTTTAGAAACCAAATAAAACAAAGGGTCTTGTAACAAAGCACTTGGTATCTTCCAGAAGGAATTGCTGAACTTCAAATAAAGACAAGGTATCTTTTATGTTCTTTTTCTCAATATAAAACATTACTTTTTAAAACCTAGCAATTAATTTGTATATGCAATTACATCCATAATGCAATAAATATGAGTATAATGGATATGGACAAGATCCACTTTAGGCTGAGGGATGCCACTAATCCTCACATGTCTAATACTAGTGATAGGCCTTGGACTAAATGCACTGTCCTGTGTTCCCACACAGAAAGGTTTTGTTTGCTCTGAGAAGCATGTGTCACAAACAGCGTTCAGCTTTTCCCTTGGAAGAAAATGATCTGTCCACGTGATAACACTCCTATCACATCATCACATGATTCATAAGTTAAACCTCCTGTCCATCTTATGCACACCTGCTTCATTTATAACAGTTCACACAGATGAAAATGTTTTACGTGAAACAAGACAATATGATGCAAGACTGGGAAATATACTCTTACAATAAAAACACATTTTTAAAAAAGTGAATCTGTCCAATTACATTTGGAATGGGAACTTCCTCCTATCACAGATCAGTTACCATGGCCCTCCTACAGCCACTAACGTCAGCACTTCCGGAGGAAGGCCCAGTCACAGCGCACGCCGACAGAGACCAGGTTTACGGAGCTCCAAAACAAACCTGATTCAAAGAAGCAGTAGGAAATACATTAGATGCTGGATTCTGTTGGTAACTGCATGAATTGAGCTGAGTATAATTAAGAATAACCTTAAAAATGAATAAATTTTAGCCTGGCTCGCGTGGGTCAGTGGTTGAGCATTGACCAGGGTTGTGGGGTCAATCCCCAGTGTGGGGCGTGCAGGAGGCGGCTGATCAATGATTCTCTCATCATTGATGTTTCTATCTCTCTCTCTCTCCCTCATATATTTTTTAAATGAATAAATTTAAAAAGTGCTCAAAATGAAAAAAACAACAAAAAATCCCCCAGCAACACTGTACTTGAAGGTGTTCTCCTGGTGCTGAAGGCTGACAGTGGTACTTTTGCAGGGGTGGTAGTTTTAATAGTAATACTGGAGACGTTTGGTGACCTTTCAGCCAAGTTGTGATAAACTCGAAAGTCCTCTAGAAGTAAGATCTATTTACATGTGGCGATTTCAAATTCTAACCTCAGGTACCTAAATGCATATTGTGAGGAAAGGATTAAGCCCAGACCTGCAAAGACACAAACAGATAATTGTTAGTTTCTTTAGTACTTAACAACTTACAAAACCTGAGTTTAAAGGGATAAATCAAAGTCTCTTTATTCACACACACACACACACACACACACACACACACACACACACACACACAGTGGATGGAAATACTCCATCCAAAATAGAGCACTTGCATGTCTTGGAAAATAAAACACTTTCCTCTTAGCAGCTCATTTATTCATTTGTTCATTCATTCAATAAACAGTGATTTAGTGCCCAGGTGTATCAGGTACTGTGCTTTGCCCTGAGGATTGAGAGAGGAGAAAGGTGCATGTTTGCACCTGATCCGCCGCCCCCCCCGCCCCTTAGTTAACTGTCTAAGGCAGGGGTGGGCAAACTTTTTGACTCGAGGGCCACAATGGGTTCTTAAACTGGACCGGAGGGCCGGAACAAAAGCATGGATGGAGTGTTTGTGTGAACTAATATAAATTCAAAGTAAACATCATTACATAAAAGGGTACGGTCTTTTTTTTTTTTTAGTTTTATTCATTTCAAACGGGCCGGATCCGGCCCGTGGGCCGTAGTTTGCCCACGGCTCATCTAAGGGCATCTGTGGCCTCCCACGAGGGACTGGTAACTCTTAGATTGGCAACAGAAGCCATCTGTACCCAGACAGCTCTCTGAGTACATTAACACAACTTTACTAATTTAGGCAACTCCTGACCAGGAAGATGAATGAAGTCACAAATAACTTTATTGTTTGTTTCAGGAACTGTGCAAAAAAGTCCATTCACCCCTTTATCCTACGAGTATGAGTCAAGTATCCTCTTTAGAAGAGACACTTCTTAGAACAACACAGAGCATCAAGGGACTGGTCACTGCGAAAGCCCATCTTTGAAATCCTCCCCCTCCCCCAGCCTGTGTCCAGCAATCTTAAACTCTATGCCACTAAAGTCCCTCCATCAAAAGATCTGCCTCAATCCCTAAAACCTCAAGGATCTGCCTTTGCTCTCCTTCCTAAGACACTACTGAGACGGTCAAGTTTGTGGTGTTCCACACTGTGGTGAGCTTTGCAAATAGTATTTCTGGGGAGCCAACACCTGACAAAGTCTTGGAGCTTTTTGAGAATATTAAAAAAAAAGCCATGAGGAGGACACACACAAAATCTGGCATATACTTTCAGGGGCTTCATGCTCTTCTAAAGCCCCTCTGTTGGTTTCATAGGGGTCTGTGACCACAGAAGAACCCTGCAGTTCTAGGAGGCGAGATTGGCAATCTGTGGTTTGTCAAAGGCTAGACTCAGAAGGATCAGATTTTTAAGGTCAAAAGAAACCTCTTGAATCACCTAGTTCAGCTATTCCCTCAACTACATGCATGAACACCTGTGTCGATGGGGAACTCACTACCTCCCAGGCCACTCACTCCTTCTGTGGCTCTGAGTAGAGCTGAAATCTGAGCTCCATGTAGCTGTCGGGGCCACTCCTAGCTCACTCGGACTTCTGCTTTCAGGAAGGCCAATCACTCCTCTTCTCACACACAGAGTAAAATAGAAAGTCTCCTCGCTTACTCTTAGGGTGTGATCCCAGGATCCTGAGCAAAAAGCAGTCCCATCAGGGGAAACTCGTAGAGTACTGACACGGTTTTCATGTCCAAACAGGATGGAGACTCGAGCCCCCTTGAGCACATCCCAGACATTGATGGTATAATCGTTGTATCCAGCAAACAGCAGGCGACCTGGAAGCAGGAGGATGTGATAGTTATTAAACCAGTTCCTTCCTTCCCGTTTTTCTTTTTCATGACTCTCGCTTGCTTGCTTGTTCATTCATTCATTCATTCATTCATTCACTCATTCATTCGTTCATTCGTTCATTCCTTCAATAAACAGTGATTTAGTGCCCCTGTGTGTCAGATACCGTGCTTTGCCCTGAGGGTTCAGAGGAGAAAGCACTGTTGCTGCCCCTGTGGAGGGTGGTCCTGGTCGGCAGACACATAAATCATAGCACCATGTGATAAGGGCTATAATGGAAGTGCTCAGCTATGTGTCATGTGCTATGCCATCACAGAGGAAGGATCAAGGAAGACATTGCAGAGGAAATGACATCTGATGGGCTCTTGAGGGGTGAATAGAAGTTTGCCATGCAGAGAAAAGATGTTTCAGGCAGGAGTAGCTGCATGCATGCATGAAGGCTCAAGTGCAGAATTGGGGGAGTGTCTGGGGAAATTGAATGGTCCAGTGACCCAGAATATCAGTGCTGCCTTAATGTTCACTAGTAGCCTCCCCAGCTGGGAGGGCAGAGGTGCCATGAGCTTCAGGGCATTGAGAAAGGTCACCCACCCTCCACCTCTGAAAAAAAGTCCTTTTTCAGGTGTGAAGGGAGAATGGAAGGCTGGGGAAGAAATGCCTAAAGGCCCTTCATATGTGAGTGTCTGTCCATCTCTGCCTTGAAGAACAGTATTAGATGGGCACAGCCTTCATTTCCCCTGAAGTGACTGGGGCTGGGGGCAGCCGCTGAGGGCAGGGCGAAGTAGGGCTCACACAGCCCGGGGGGCCGGAGGTGGGCACACGGAACTGGCACAAAAGGAGACTATTTGGCATATGGGCCCACAGGAAGTTTAGCTGAGGGGCCGCTTGACAGAGAGCTAGGTGTCACTTAGGTCCTGTTTTACAGACCTGGGAAAGTTTCTGACATAAAATCTTACCACTGAGGGAGAAGTCCACGCTGGATGCTCCAAATATGATACTCTCCTTGGAATAGATGGCGACCTCTCTGTCTGCCCGGAGGTCGTAGAGGCGACACTGGGGTGCAAACAAAGAAGCACTTACTTCTGGCTCCAGTTTGGTGAGGTGACACCACAGAGCCAGCAGCAGGTGCCAATGGCTTGTGTAGTTGGAGAGGTAAGGGAAACACCTCTTACGTTTTCTCTCCTAGTATTTTCTCCCTCAAGCCCGATTCCTATTCATCTCCAATGGAGACATAAAGACACAGCAAATATAGAAGATTTCTTCAGGTACAAAACCAAAAATGAAACCCAGCCTTTTTTTCTGATGAAGGATACATGTTCATTGTAGAAAATTCAGAAAAACTCAAAATGCATAGAAAATAAAAGTCACCCCAAATCCTAGAGGTATTGACTAAACCTTTTTCCTTCAGACTTACTTCCGTTTTATGTGTGTATTAAAAAAATAAATAATGAAAAAAACATAGGGTGGATGTTTCATTATTACTTTTCTCATTATGTTATGAGCATTCTCTCTTATCATTAAATAATCTTCCAAAAAAAAAAACAATTAACGTGGTTGTTAGTCTTCATGTAGACATATCAGAATCTAGTCATACCCTGTTAAAAAGATGTTTGTGTTTATTTTTTCTCTTTTATCATAAAACTAGAGGCCCGGTGCATGGATTCATGCACAGGTAGGGTCCCTAGGCCTGGCCAGCGATCAGGGCCGATCAGGGATGGGCCGATCAGGGCCTGCCAGCCAGGGGGAGGGACAGGGTGTGGGAGGTTGGCTGCTGGCCCCGAGGAGGGAGCAGGCCCTCGGCTCTCCTGGGAAAGGGGCTGCTTCCGCCACCACCCAGCCTCGGTTCCCCATCCCAGCCAGGGGCCGAAGGCCCTGGGCAGGGTCAGGAGAGGAGGCAATGGTCGCTGGACTAGGCGCGGAAGGAACGGACGCTAGACGCAGATGCCACTGGCCGGCTGTGGGAGGTTGGCTGTGGGAGTGCACTGACCACTGGGGGGTAGCTCCTGCATTGAGCGTCTGCCCCCCGGTGATCAGTGCATGTCATAGAGACTGGTTGACCGGTCGTTCGGTTGTAATGGTCGCTTAGGCTTTTATATACATAGATTATCTCCCATTCTTATGTAAAATCCCTGATGTTCTCCTTATAATAGCTATGGAATAGAATCTTTAGGATAGAATTATTTCCAAGAAATAGCATGCCCAGATCAAAGGGTAGAGATATTTTGAAAGTTCTATCACAGAACTGCTTTCTAGAAGGCTTATACCCAGGGTCCTGAACAGGCTGGCCCCAGACTCCTCGCCACACCACCTCCACCCGAGCAATTCTCCTGCAGCTGAGCATCTGATCATTGAAACTTGCATTTCTTGGATTAGAGGTGATTTTGGAAACATTTTCAGTTTATTTGCTATTTTGGGTGTATTGCTTTATAAATGGTCTGCATTCTATCTTTCTTTAAAATTGGGGTATATTTTTTATTGATTATGCCTCCCCATTCATATCTAAAGGATTTCAACTTGGCCTGGCATAAATGTAGCAAGGATTTTTCCAAAATGTATGCACTTACATTTGGTTATACATTTTTGACATCCATAAGTTAAATTTTTATTATTACCAAAACGCTCAATCTATTCCTTTGTAATTTCTTCCATAGTACTGAATCAGAATCAAAACTATTATTACTATTATTTAATAATTTATTTGGTATTTTTAGGGCACAAGAAGGTATTTCTTTTAAAAACAATCAGTGAACATAATTTTTTAATTAGTATCAAAAGCTTTAAAACTAGGTCTATTTTTTTAAAATATATTTTATTGATTTTTTACAGAGAGGAAGGGAGAGAGATAGAGAGTTAGAAACATCAATGAGAGAGAAACATTGATCAGCTGCCTCCTGCACACTCCCCACTGGAGATGTGCCCACAACCAAGGTATATGCCCTTGACCGGAATCGAACCCGGGACCCTTGAGTCCGCAGGCCGATGCTCTATCCACCGAGCCAAACCGGTTACAGCAAAACTAGGCCTATTTTTAACTCAGTAAGTTCATGTCTGAGAATTCATTCTACAGAAATAATGAGAGGCTCCAAAAATACTTATAGCAGTGTTTTTAAACAGGAAAAAAACACATACCTTGAAAACCTAAATGTCCCAAAATTGAAGACTGGTTAAGTAAATGATGGTTTGTCTATAACATGGGAAACTGTTCAATCATTAAGAAAAAATAATATAGAACAATGTTTACTGGCATAGGAAAATGTCCACAATCTATTAGTAAGTGAAAAAAAGCAAATTTTTGTTTAACAAGGAAAGAGACAGAAAGGAATTGATCTAATTGTGATTTTTCCTGGGTAGGGAGATTAAGGTAATTTAATTTCTCCCCAAGATTACTTCAAAGAATACACATTATTTTTGTAATCAGAAAAAAAAAGTTATTTAAAAAAATAAAATGAAGGCAGCACATCTCTCTCTCAAATAAGAAAGCTCTCAATGACTTTGAAACATACCGTAGCATCATCTGATCCCGAGGCAAAGGCATCTCCGCTCGGGTAGTACCTGCGGAGAGGAAGTTGGGGAGAAAGCACTTTAGAGTGGTGACTCCCAACCCTGGATGCCCGTCACAACCGTCTGGGAAGGCTGTCCCGTGCTAGGCCTTCAGAATCAGAATCCCCACTTCTAGGGACATAAGGACCATTTGTTACAGAGGCCAGAAAGGGAAGCTCATCCGGCAGACCCACTGGCCTCTAGTTTTCTTCCCTGCCGATAGGGGACAGTGGCATTGGCCTTGCAGAGTGCTGGTGAGGAGTAAATGTGATAATACGGGTATCTGTACCCGGCATGGAGCACAGAGCAGGTCCCCGGACCCATACTTTTCCTTGACCACATACCTCATTCCTAAGGCGTGGCCCAGAGCTCAGGGATAAGAAAGTGGTTATAAACACAGACACTGGAATCAGACACCCAGAGCCACATGCAGATCCCTGCACTGACCACTTACTGCATGGGATACTTGTGCAAAGTGACTTCACCTTGCACAGCCTCAGCATATGCAAAGAATGTGGCATGGTGCCAATGAACAGCTTTCAGTAAGTAACGATGCTTTCTGTCGCAGTCACTCTCTTTTCTATAATCCGCTTCCCAGAGAGAGGCAGGCCTCAGTGGAGACCTGGTGGAATAGTGGCCATCAGAAGAAGAGGATCAGGGCAAAGGCAAAAGCATGGGTGAGAGACTGCGCCTTTTTAAGCTGTATCTCAACATAAGGGTTTACTTGATTTTTGTGGATATTCTGTCCTGCACCTTTAGTAACTTCATTTTCTATCTGTAGTAAATTCTGGATTGATTTTCTTTGATTTTCTAGGTAATTGCTACACATTTGCAAAATGTGATAGCCTTTTTCCTTTTATCTTATCCCATATTTGAGGGCAGGGAGCTAGACAATTCTTACTAACATTTCTACTACTAATGTAATGAAGTTGTCTCATTTTGTTCTTGCTTTTAAGGGGAACAAGCCTAGTATTGCCCAGGAAGCATAATGAAGATTCCTGGGTGATTATATTATGTACATGTCGGAACAGTGTCATCTTCCAAATTTATATGTCAAGTACTGACCTCTCTCTTAGGATCCAATTCATAGATCCTGCATGTCATTTGGCCCTTTTCATGTCATCCTGTGGAATTTGGGCTCAAGTAACCAGCACAGAGATCCTGACACTCTGACTATTGCCACTGCTCTGAGTAATAAACTGTCCTTCATCTCTGACCCAGGAGTCTCATGTCTTCTATCTACCAGCAGCCATGAACTTGTGTAGCTTGATAGCCTAACTTGATAGCTTGCAAGTCGTGTAAAACCTCAGAACATTCCCAATTCTAGACGGTTCTGTCTCTATTATGCTTTCTTAGTTCCAGCCGCCATCCTTTCTCTCTTGATCTCACACAACTTCTTTCTAACCAGCTGTCACACTTCCTTCCATTCTTGCTCCCCTATACCCTGTACTCCACACAGCAGCCAGAATGATCTTTTAAAGGCAAAACATAGATCATGTTAGCCACCCTCTCCCCCAACTCAACAATCTGGCCTTTTGTTAGGTCCCTGAACATCTCATCTCCCCCCAGCTCTTTGTAAGTCTGGCTCTTGTATAATCCTGGCCTCAATTTAAATATCATCTCCTCAGAGAGGCCTTCCCTGACCATTCTAAGAAACAACCCATCCCATTACATCTCCTTGTTTTACTTTTATTCATAGCACTTATCAGTATCTCAAATCATACATTTGTTTATTTGTGCATTGTCTTGTCTCCTGCAGGAAAGGAGAGACCTTGTCTATCTTATTCACAACTGTATTCCCAGTTCCTGGAGTAATGTCTAGCCTAGAAGTACTCAATAAATATTTTTTGAATGAATGAATGAGAGATACTGACTCAATAGGGAGGATAACACCAGTGCCCCTGGTACAATTATATTAAAAGGTCTCCAAAAGCTTTGGAGCGCTATTCAGTCCCACCACAGATCAGCCATTCTTGCTGGGAGGCCGCTCAGCCCAGTGCACTGAGCCTGGAGGCGGTGGTGGGCTCAGATCACCCCAGGCCAGGGAGCCCAGGAGAACAGAGGAGTAGCTGAACACCCTACTCACTGACCGGACACTGTTGACGTCTGATTCATGAGTTTCAAAGGCCTGCACGCACTGGCCGGAGCGCATGTCCCACACCATGGATTTCTTGTCACATCCCTACAAATGCAAAGTTACCAAGAGTTAAGGCCGCTGCAAGGACTGCCCACAGACAGCCATGAGTTCCAGTTATGTAACACAGACCATTTATGTCGGAGACCAGCTTTGCTTAAGGCCACTTCAACTGATGAGGCCTTAGAAGGCCAGAACTAGATCTTGGATTGGGCGGGGGCCAAGGGAAGGACCCAGCTTCCCCCTGTAGCATGTTCTCTTCTTTGGCAGCTTTCTGAGTGGGCACAAACTCACCTTCCCCATGGCATTTCCCATGTCTTCATTGTTCCCTTTCCTTCCTCCTCCCTCTATCGCTGCTTCTCTAAGCCCAGAGGGGAGAGCAGACAGACAGTGGTGCCAGGTGGGTCCTCCCAGCTTTGTCTCAGGCGTCAGGGGCGGCCCTGAGCAACGGTGGACCTCTAGGTGCCTCTGGGCCATCTGCACCCCAGCAGCCCCCTGGCTGGGAATCAGCAGAGCAGGAGCCCAGTCATGGCGCTGCCAGCAGTTAGCTGGCTGCCTGGGTAAGTCACCTACCTGGCTTCCACCTCAAGACCTGTAAACCACTCTCTCTGGATCGCCAGCCTGACCCAGAGGTTCATAAACATACGATTCCTACATTATACGATCATGGTTCTAGGAGCATTTTGATAACGTCCTGCAGAGCAGTCCTGTTGTCAAGTTTGGGGACTATGATGTGGTCTCTCACTTGTCAAATAGAAGAAGTACTGGATTAAAATTGGTGTCCAAATTGTTGGTTTCAACTTAGAGGATGGGGTCGGGCACAAGGTACCATAACTGACATCTCAGGAAGACCTGCTGTGGGTTCAGCACTGAGTGTCTTTACTGAGAATGAGGACGAAGGATCAGGAGTGTTTTCAAATCCTTAGAGGACACTAAATCAGAGGAGTTTAATGCTCTGAAAGAGACAACAGAATCTACCATGACAGTGACAATTTGAGTAAACAGCATAGCTGAGGAGAGAGAAACACAGTTATTCAAAGGTGTAGGAATGAAATACACAGAGATGGTCAAATGCCTAGAATAAAAGTGAGGTCCCTGCTATTTAGAGGCCAGAGAGCCCTCGCCTGATGCCCAGAACTAAGAGGTGGAGAGCTGAGAGCAAAGGGCCTTATGTCTTCCAGCTGCAAACATCATTTTGATAAGGGTTAGCTAGCTAGCTTAATTAGGCAGAGAGGAAGGGAGGGTCCAGGGAGGATGAAGGCATTTCTGGCCTGAGCAATTAAAATAGCCATAAACCAAGGACAGAGGTATCTCTGGCCTGAGCAGCTGGGAGAGCCATAGGGGTAATAAAACATCTCTGGCCAAGACAACTAAGAGAGAGCCATAAGGGAGATCAAAAGCAACTCCAACCTGAACAGATTAGATGGATAATGTTGCAAAATGAGGAGGAGAAAATGGGGGGGGAGGCACGTGGGCTTTAGACTTTAAAGCTAATACTATGTAGAAGAATGACCAATGAGGAAAGCCGGGGTCTTACATTAAGGAAAGGGTCCAATTGCTAAGGGTCAGATTCAAACAAAGAACTACAACATATATAAACCAGCGACAAAGGGACATGAGACAGATTTTAGATTTTTGGACTTAGATTTTTCCCATCAGAGAGAGAGAAAGAGAGAGAGCGAGTGAGCATTTTTTTCCCATTTGAGGGCCCCTCCGCAGGGGGGTCCCCTTTGGGGATTCTTGCCCAGATGGAGTTTATATATGCTTCCAATAAGTTTCCTCATTTTTTTAAAAAATATATTTTATTGATTTTTTACAGAGAGGAAGGGAGAGAGATAGAGAGTTAGAAACATCGATGAGAGAGAAACATCGATCAGCTGCCTCCTGCACATCTCCTACTGGGGATGTGCCCGCAACCCAGGTACATGCCCTTGACCGGAATCGAACCTGGGACCTTTCAGTCCGCAGGCCGACGATCTATCCACTGAGCCAAACCGGTTTCGGCGAGTTTCCTCATTTTTATCAAAGAAATCTGTTAGTCCACGAATTTATTCTTCAACTTCGCAGGACAAGAATCCACAAGAAGTCTGCACCCTGAACCCCACGTTTCAATTTGATGGTGTAGCATCACCGGCCTCTCCTGACTGACTCGAGGTCAGGCCAGCCAGCTTAATTCCCCATCTCTATTCCTAGCTGTCCACAAAAATACTCGCCCCTACATCTGTATAACACAATGTAAACTCTTCTATCCACTATTCATAATGTCCCGGGGAAGGGAGGAGGCAAGAACTATTGTGCATCATGCCCAGTTTACAGATGATGAAATTAAGGTGAGGTAGCAAAGCCGGGACCCAGGCATCCTGATTCCTAGCCTAGTGCTGCTCTGTGTCACCGTGGCCTGACTGCCCAACTCTGAGACCTCAGATACGCTGTTCGATGGTGAATGGCAGGGGTGGGGCAGGAGAGTGTCCCACCAGCCCCAAAGCTCTGTTCACAACACAGTGCTGCCTCACGGAGCGTGTGCCCTGGTGGCCACTTGCAATGCTGTCAGATACAAACTCCACTATTTATCTGAGGAATGATTTTTAAATGTGGCAGATACACGCCCCGAGTGATAGCAGTCACACCAGGAGAACATTCCAGATCCTTCCGTGGATGCTGAATGTCGGGGCAGAATGGGAGGCCCTCCCAGCACCACCATTGCTGTGGGAGCTGGGGATGCAGTGGGGAGCTGGGGGTGCAGTGGTGACCTGGGAGTGCAGTGTTGACCTGGGGGTGCCATGGGGAGCTGGGGTACAGTGGTGACTTGGGGGTGCTATGGGGAGCTGGGGTATAGTGGGGAGCTGGGGTGCAGTGGGGAGCTGGGGGTGCAGTGGGGACCTGGGGGTGCAGAGGGGAGCTAAGGAGCACCTGAAAACCCTTTCAGGAACCCATCCCATCTAGTCCCAGAAAGTGACATGAATTGCTACCACCACCCTCCCTGGTAGACAGAGGACTCTAGACATGTTCCTTGGGTCTTTACCCCGGACACGAAGGTGTTTCCCGTTTCTGAGGGCGCCAGGTCCAAGCAGAGCACGTCGGCCCCGTGCCCGTGGAAGCTCTGCAGCAGCTGCCCGCTCTCCACGTCCCACAGGGCGCATGTCCCGTCGCCGCTCGCCGTCAGGATCTGACGTGGGAAAGGACAGGAAGAGTGTGTGGTCATTATTAGTTCTGTGAGGGGCAAGGCCGTCAGGGAAAAGAGGCTCCACACACACACACACACACACACACACACACACACACACACACCGACACCTGTCACTGAGCTGCACACACACACACACACACACACACACACACACCCGACACCTGTCACTGAGCTGCGTTCCTGTGCCTGTCCTCCAGCGTACGGATCCAGAGGCCTCCCTGCTGTACCCGCGGGGCTCTCCACTGCCTGGCATGCACGACTCTGTGAACGTCTGCTGAACAAAACTGTGACTGGCTCCCACAAGCAGGCTCGCCCACGGTTGTACAGGCCAGACTGGAAAAGTGCTCCTCGGACATTAAGGAGCATCCCAGTCACCAGCTGCCCCCTATAGAGTGTGGGGCGAGTCCAGAGATTCTGCAGTTCTCACAAGCTCCCGGTGCTGCCGACGCTGGTCACTGGACCCCATCTGTAGCAGCAGGGGTCGAGGCAGCATTTTGTTAGACACCCTCCTATTGCTGCTTCTCCCAGGTCAGGGTGCTCCCCAGAGGCTCCGGGCCACTGAGAGGTGCTGACACTCGTGCGCGCACAGGGCCGACAAGCACTGGTCATGTGCTGATGACAGTGCTCTGCCAGGGTGAGGGTTTGCAGGAGGATTGGGTCTTGGCCTCCACTCTCCTGAAGCTCGCTGCTTCTCCCAGGTCAGGGTGCTCCCCAGAGGCTCCCAGCCACTGAGAGGTGCGCGCACAGTGCCGACAAGCACTGGTCATGTGCTGATGACGTCCCGGCGCTCTGCCAGGGTGAGGGTTTGCAGGAGGATTGGGTCTTGGCCTCCACTCTCCTGAAGCTCGCTCAGTTTAACAGGGTTGGCTGTCAAGGCAGAAACCAACCTAATCCCCTGTCTCCGTGTTAATCAGTTCTGGGACCAGGCATACTCTCTTGATGCTGTGCTACACAACACTGTGACCAAGCAAAAATAACCTACCTGCTTGCTCTAGTAATACCTGCTCCTGCAAAGTAAGACTGTGAACCAAGTAAACAACTAATTAAGACTAATCGCTTGCTCATCAAGACGGGCTTTAAGGCCCTTATCTCGCTGGGCTCACCAATCCAAAGCTATTATATCGTCAACCAGTTTCTCATTGTGAGAGGTCCACCTTAAAACCACCTAGTGCAGTATCTGAAACCCTCCAAGCAGCCTTCCCTGCTTTCTCCACCTTAAGGCCACTGCTCATCAAGACGGGCTTTAAGGCCCTTATCTCGCTGGGCTCACCAATCCAAAGCTATTATATCGTCAACCAGTTTCTCACTGTGAGAGGTCTACCTTAAAACCACCCAGTGCAGTATCTGAAACCCTCCAAGCAGCCTTCCCTGATTTCTCCACCTTAAGGCCTATAGAGATTCTCAGGTTGGGGTTCCCTCCCTCACTGCAGTAGGTCTAAGGAACTTAGCATTGCTGAACGGGGTCTTGTAGACAAGACATTGATCACTATAACTGAGTGTGAGAAGTGCTGAGAAACAGGTGGGCCCACAGGAGGGGCACCAAATGCACCCTGGGGGCATCTGAGCTGGTCTTACAGGATGAGTGACAGCTGGCCAGGTGAAGGAGGGAGGACACTGCAGTGACCACCTACCTATGCACTGGATGAAAGGTGTGTCTGTGTAGAGGCCTATAGAGATTCTCAGGTTGGGGTTCCCTCCCTCACTGCAGTAGGTCTAAGGAACTTAGCATTGCTGAACGGGGTCTTGTAGACAAGACATTGATCACTATAACTGAGTGTGAGAAGTGCTGAGAAACAGGTGGGCCCACAGGAGGGGCACCAAATGCACCCTGGGGGCATCTGAGCTGGTCTTAGAGGATGAGTGACAGCTGGCCAGGTGAAGGAGGGAGGGCGCTGCAGTGACCGCCTACCTCTGTACTGGATGAAAGGTGTCTGTGTAGAAAGTGAAGACTTCAGTCTGCAGACAAAAAGAAGCTATGGAAAGCTTCCAAGCAGAATGATAAGATTAGGGTATATTTTCGGAGACTCTGTCAGCTCAGTGCCGCGATCCCTCAGTAAAGGCTGGCCCACACAGGGAGAGGAACGCTGGGCTGCCTGGGGAAAGGCATGGGGGCAGAGCCAGTGCATGAGGCTTGGGCTCCGGCTGAGCATACCTTCGTGGGGTTGGGAGAAGGCAGTGGGATCCAGGGCTCCCAGACCCAGCTGACAGCACCACAGCACCCTGGAGCCAGGAGAAGCCATGGGGGGATGACAAGCCATAGCAGAACCTCCCTGTGCCCCACCTTCTGGCAGCTCTAGGGCCTGGAGGAGGTGATAAGTTAGTGCAGGAAGTGGCTGTGCAATGTCAAGTGCCCACAGCAGAGAGCCCTCTGTGGGTGATAGTTACTGATGGCCGAGGAAAGAAAACAGGAATCAGGCCTTAAGGACTGCTGGCATGCAACGGCCCGCTGACCTGCTGCACCTTCAATTTCCATTCGCTGGCGTCTTCTCCCCCCCTTTTTAAAAAAATATATATATTATTGATTTCAGAGAGGAAGGGAGAGGGAGAGAGAGAGATAGAAACATCAATGATGAGAGAGAATCATTGATCGGCTGCCTCCTGCACGCCCTCTACTGGGGATTGAGCCTGCAACCTGGGCATGTGCCCTTGACTGGAATCGAACCTGGGACCCTTCAGTCCGCAGGCTGATGCTCTATCCACTGAGCAAACCCAGCCAGGGCTGGGCTGTACACTTTTTAATGGGTGATTTTATGATATGTGAATTGTAGCTCCATTTTCTAAAATGTCACATACACACAGAAAGCATAAAGAGGAAAGAAAAAGATCATTAGGATTCTAAGGAGGAGAAAGGCCTGAAGGAGAACTCAGTGTTTCAGGGGGAAGAGGAGAGGTGGAGGTGAAAGGCCTCCCACCTTCCCATCCCCTCTCCTTCTCTCCTGCACGCTAGGCCTAGCACTGACAGGGAGGGAACACATGACAGGAGGGGAGTCTGCTCCCGCCTGGCCTTGTGCCTGCAGGCTGCACTGTCTGGGCATGGATGTCCTGCTGGGAAGTCCGGGGAGGCCTAGGATCTCTTCCCAGGAGAGGTCCCTTTGGAGCACCTCCCGGAACAAGAGCTGGGAGAGTTCCGGAGCGCTCAGGCTTCTTGGGTCTAGTCCCCAAAGTCCTCCTCAAGGTCCCCACGGGGAGGCAGCTCTCAAATTTGGGGAATTTCCAAGGTTGCAAACCCCTGCAGCTGTCCATGGGACTCCCTACAGCCTCAGCTTCCATCAAACGTACATCCGACAAGATGAGCAAGGCTGGTAAAAGTAGCTTATGAACACACAAGACTCTGACCGCATCTTAACTTGGGTACTTGTACTTTGAACTATGCTACAATTCCCTCCAATCTCTCCAGGCCCACACCCACTAGTGCACGCGCCACACTGCTCCTGTCCTAGCACTTGCAAAGGGTTAGTATCTCCACTCTTTTTTGGGACACCAGGTCCAAATAACCTGCTTTAAATGATTGCCACAGACTAGCTCTTTAGTTTGGTCATTTTTCATACCATGCTCTTCAATCAAACAAATGGATTGCTTTTAGAAGTAAAAAGTAAATTCTTAATATTTTAAAAATACTTTTGTGATCTTCATTATAATGTAAGTACAAATAAATTTCTAAAACCAAACACTCATTACTATAAATGCACTAAATATAACCTCTGTGTCACTCATTTATTCTAGAATGTAAAGAATTTATAGCTTTAATGCCATAGTCTTATACCAGCCCCTTGAGGGTTTTTTTTAAAAATATATTTTTATTGATTTTAGAGAGGAAGGGAGAGGGAGAGGGAGAGGGAGATAGAAACATCCATGATGAGAGAGAATCATTGATCGGTTGCCTCCTGCAGGCCCCACACTGGGGATCGAGCCCGCAACCCGGGCATGTGCCCTGACTGGGAGTCAAACTGCGACCTCCTGGTTCATAGGTTGATGCTCAACCACTGAGCCACACCAGCAGGGCGAGTTTTTCTTTTTTTCATCCTTGATCCCAGAAATGGGAGGAAGCTTCAGGTTCATTAATTCATTAGTACCCACACCAGGCCATGCACCTGAACTGTTGTGTAATGAAGCTTTGTGTTAGTATCAATAATAAAACAGTAAGAGCTAATATTTAACAGGGACTGTATGTATTATTTTATACCAATCATCTAGTTTAATCCTCAGAAAACCTTACCAGGGAGGAATTTATTGCCATCCTCACTTGCAGGTGAGAAAACAAAACAGGGAACACACCTTGCTTAGGACTGACCAGCCCGAATGCAGTGGAGCCAGGATTCGATCCCCACTGTCTGTCTCTGAGCCGTGCCCTGTGCCCTGTGCCCTGGCGAGGTGGCCAGCGGACTTCCCTCTATTCCGTCTATCTCCCTCTGGCTGCCGGTTAGGAAACAAGCACTTTCTGCCTTCCAGGTGCCCCACTTCGGTCCCCAACTCAGAGTGAGGGTGATACATCTCCACCAGAGACACTTGAGATGCCTGACGACCCCTGTGCCTGCATCCCTCTGTGGCTTCCTTCTTCCACACTGAGATCCTCTCTTGCTTTGCTACTGCTCAGGCTCAAAGGCATCTATCAGGTTGTGGCTGCTGCAGCCAGCTGGGCCCACAGCGCCCCCTACTGTACAGGTCTGCAAGGCTCCTGGTCCCAAACACCAGGTGTAAATACTACACTTCAGGCCTGACACTCCTCTTGTCAGCAATTAAACAATGACCCAGTCACCTGGTCTCCCTGACTGAGTCAGCTGAGGCCAGAGTGGGTCATGGAAGGCTTTATTTGACTCATACTCTCCTGCTTAAAACAAGTCCAAACATGACCCAGCCCCTGCAGGGCTGCCCTCCATCCACAGGGCATTCAGGGCACCCTGGGCTGTGTCCCTGCCCATTTCTCAGGCTGCCTGCCTCCCACTGAGCTCCCCTCACACCTCACTGGCAACACCCTCACCCTCCATGGCTGGTCCAGGCAACTCCATGTGGCCTGTGACCACCCCTCCTGCCCTGAGCTCCCAGCCTTCCCCACTGTTCAGTTCCGACTGGTTTCCGTGAAGATCCCTGAGGGCAGAGACTGAGTGTCCCTGTGGCCCAGAGCCAGGTAGCGCCTGGCAACATGGGTGGTGGACACCTAGGAAGGTCTGCTGAATAGATGTGGAGAAATAAACTATGGTATACTTTTACAACTTGTTAAGAAAACGTGGTCTAGGTGTTGAGTAGTGTTTTTCCTTTGGGTTTACCCAGAGTAGAGCACAGATTTACTATCTAACGCTTCTTCTTTTGCATCTGTTCAAACAGGAGTGTGAAGCAGATTCAGCGAAGCGTGTAAAGCGCACACGCTGAAGCTCGGCCGCTCAGTGAAGGTGCACACACATCCGTGCCTGGGAACCACCTCTCAGACGGGGAGGTGGACTTCCCACCCCAGGCTCCCTGATCCACCCCAACAAGGCAATTAGAGAAGGATGTTCAATATGGCATGTAGTTTATCTCCTCTATCAACAGCCAATAGCCCTGGCTTTCCTCATTTCTGCTTTTATTTAAAATAATAATCAATGAGGAACAGGAGCTTCCTCTGGAGCACCCCTCCTGCTAAGAGGAACCCTGGAAAAGCCTCCGCTCTCCCCTGGGGCTCCTCCCCTGCCCTCCCGCAGGCTGGCCCTTCACGTGGGCCCTCGCTTACCTGCATGTCAGAGTTGGTGAAGCTGCAGGCCGACAGGTAGTTGGTGTGCATAGCCACAGACTTCTTTTTGGCAGCCATGCTTTCATTTTTGTCAAAGGTCAGTGGATACACGGAACACTTATTATCCAAACCCCTGGCATGGGAAGAAAGAAGTGTCAAATGTTGATGGAGGACAATAGAGTGTGTGTATACTTTCTCATTCACACAGACTTTTCAAAAAAAATTTTCCCTTGAGCTGTATCACACAGTGTAACCTTTCCCCCAACTTTCACTTTGAAGATTTACAAATGCACAGTAAAACTGAAAGAAAAACAGTACAACGAACACTCAATCCCTTCACCTAAACTCCTAACTTAACATTTTGCAGGAACAAATTCTGAACCATTTGAATGCAAATTGCAGGCATGACATGTTACATCTAAATACTTGAATTTGCAAGGGCCCAATCAAGGGTCACACAGTGCATTAGGTTTTTATATCTTTTTAAGATCATTTAATCTAGAATAGGCCCTCTATTTTTTGGTGTTCACAGCCACAGACCTTAGGCTACTTGTCGTATAGAATGTCACACATCCTGGACTTGTCACACTGTCATGTGGGTGAGAATGACTTGCACTTGGCTGTGGCCAGAACCAGCCTGCTGGGGACCAGGGCTCCCCGACCCTCGAGGCGAGCCACGCTGACGCTGCAAGTTTTGTAGCTCTGCTGGGCTGTGCATTGCTCAGGATTACCTGAACGCATGCGAGGCAGAGAAGTTTGCAGTGTGACGCATCTGGTGTTGAACCTCTGCTTCAGTAGCTAACTCATTTTGCAATCTTGGTTTTGCTTTTTTTTTTAGGTTCTCAGAGCCTCAGTTTCCTCAACTATAAAATGAGTAGATCCCACCCACGTATCACAAGGGGCTGTTGTGAAGACTGTACAGAATTCAGAATAGTCATTGACACATGATAGATGCCCAGTAAGCATTAGTTTTATATCCTACTTGCTTGGAGGCAGGCACTACATTTTATTCAACTTTGAATTCCTCTAGGACACCCAGTCCAGTCACTCAGAGCAAGCGTACACTACCCGAATGAAGGCTTCTTGGGGAATATGGCTCTCAGAAAAAACAACTTACATGCTTATATAATTATACATCTATACTGGGACTGAGGCACTAGCCATCCCTCCACCTGGACTCTCAGGGTGTCACCAGAAAGCCACCTGGGTGGGTCTTGGAAACGTGTTCTCTCCCCTGCCTGCTCCCCTGCCCTATGGGAATCTCCCACTGGGCTCCGTTGAGTGAGGGTTAAAATAGAAAGAGGCCCAGCATCATTTCTAAACTGCCACTGAAGACACTGTTCACTGTGGTGTTTTGTTCGCTGTGACGTAGCCCATATATTCTTTTTGTAATTTAGAACCAGACAGTTGCTATCTCAACATCAAATACTGACCAATTATGTAACCCAGTGAACTCTATGCATTTACTAAAATTAATGCACAGTTAGAAACATATTATCCCAGAGTTTAAAAATGTGGAGTATTTATTTCTATACTGAGTAGTGAAGAACTGGCCGTACCGAATGCGAGGTGTGGCCTGTGCCCTGGCCACGGGAGGTGATCTCTAATGGGGGTGTCTGTTGGCTTGGGGCTCTAGCCACCTGACAGCCTAGTGGTGTGATCTGTGATGGGGGCTTTGGGACACCCCCTCCCTGAAGAAACCAGGAGACTGGAGAGTGAATATAAAATCTCTGGTCACCAAAGGCTCAGGCGAGTCCCCCAGTTGGCACATAGTCACAGCTGTAGCTGGGAGGAGGTAACGCTGGCCGTGACTCCACCGGGAGGCACAAGTGGAGGCTTTGTGTTCAGACCCCTCCTGGACTCTGCCCTGTTTCTCTTCCTTCGGCCGGTTCTCACTGTATCCTTTCACTGTGATAAAACCGTGAGCCTGAGCACAGCACTTTTCTGAGTTCTGTGAGTCATCCTAGTCAATTACTGAGCTGGAGGGTCCTGGTGGGGACCCTTCAATTTGCAGCTGGAATCTCAAGAGAGGGGAGTCTTGTGGGGACTGTGCCTTCTAACTGTACAGTTGGTTGAACTCCTCTGTACCTACCTTATAATTGTGTGGTGTGTATATATAAAATATCTGTGGTGTATATATAAAATAACTGTTCTTGCATATGTGGTATATCTATATATTCCTGTGAATATATATATGTATATATACCCATGATTTTTATTGGGGTCACCTCAGATCCTTTCAGGAAGTAGATGGGGATGAATTTTATGTATTGTCTTCCAGTTATAAAATGAAGACACAATCTACTTCTG